GAGGCGCAGCGCGCCTTCCCGCTGTCCCCGGACCTGGTCTGAAGGCTGGCGGCAGGGAGAAGAGTGCTTCTCCCCGCTGCCGGCCCCACAAGCGCCTGGGGGGGGGGAATAAATTTTTTTTCTTTATTTCCCCCCCAAAAAACTAGGTGCGTCCTATGGGCCGGTGCATCCTATGGGGCGAAAAATACGGAATTTTATTACTTTGGCACCGGTGACAGGCCAGCGTCATCCGCTGCTGAGGAAGCAGGCTAGCTTAGGGGGCCCACACTGCTGTGCCACACAAAGCTCTGTCCTTCGGCAGAAGGAAACATCTGCAAGGCTCAGGCGGAATGACCGGGGGACTGTTCCTCACAGCCCACTTCACCTGCCAACTGAGGCAATGGCCTCATTCTGCCCACCGGTGCCCGTATACTGCCTAGGCACTTCCTACCAAAATCCTTGGTACAATAGTATCTTAATCCATTCCAGAAGTCTGTTCCAAAACCAAAGCGTTCCAAAACCAAGGCACGCTTTCCCATAGAAAGTAATGCAAAATGGATTAATCCATTCCAGATGTTTAAAAACAACCCCTAAGACAGCAATTTGAACGGTGTTTCCGTGCGCTGCGCTGCTTTCACCAGAAGCGGCTCAGTCATGCTGGCCACATGACCCAGAAAAACTGCGGACAAACGCCGGCTCCCTTAGCCTGTAAAGCAAGATGGGTGCCGCAACCCCAGAGTCGTCTGTGACTGGACTTAACTGTCAGGGGTCCCTTTACCTTTACCTTACTATCTAACGAGAGCATTGATCCATAAAATGAAAGCAATAAACAATATACTGCAGTCACACAATCAATCCATCCATCCATCCATCCATCCATCAATCCATCATCAATCAATCAGTAGCTGAACTGGGTTCCACACAGTAACAAAAACAAAAAGAGCCACAAAAACAAAAACTCAAAATAAATAGCAAAAACAGACAGACCTCAGCATAACACTCAAAACGGAAGCGTGGCACTCAAAATGGAAGTGTGGCACTCAAATTGGTAGCGTAACACTCAAAACGGAGCACGTTTGTCTTCTGAAAAAAGTTTGCAAACTGGAACATTTACTTCTGGGTTTGCAGTGTTTGGGTTCCAAGTTGTTTGAGTACCAAGGTGTTTGAGAACCAAGGTAGCAGTGTATTCCCCAGGCCCAGGATTGCCCTTTAGCCTCCTGCTGCTCAGCAAAAGCTCCCACCGGTGTCCTCAGAGATAAAGCAGTGGTGTGGAGCATCATCTCGGAACTCACTCATCCTGTGATGGAGGCAGGTCTTCCCTTTCTGACAGTTCTGACAGCAGGGAACAGGTCCCATGGATGTCCTCTTGAGGCCATGGAGTGAGGCTGGGCAGCAGCTTGGAAGTTGCTTTGCCTGGCATGGAAGTGAGTCTTCTTTCCCAAGGATGGTTTATTTGTTTAAATACGTACAGGCTGCAGCGTCATAAAATGGTGGAACATAAAAAACCAACATTTCAACATAAATAAAAGCACCAGTAAATGTTGGTTGGTAAAAAGAGATTCACATGGCAAAGGAATGTCTGAATAACACAGTTTTCAGAAAGCGTGTCAAAGAAAGTGGGGATGATTCCTGCCGAACTTCTACTGGCAGGGAGTCCCACAGGGCTAGGTCCACAACATTGTTGTTGTTGTTGTTGTTGCTGTTGTTGTTATTCCGCCCTATAGATCTCAGGGTGGTTCATAGCATAAAATCACAATATAAAAAACAGAAAATGCATAATAAAAACAAAAGCGAAGACAACCCAACAATCTCCCCTTCCACAACAGGCTTTAAAGGCTCAATCTCTAGCAAAAGCTGAAAGAGCCACAGACGCATGGGGGAATCATCAGAAGTGAAACATAGAATCATAGAGTTGGAATAGACCACAAGGGCCATCGAGTCCAACCCCCTGCCAAGCAGGAAACACCATCAGAGCACTCCTGACATATGGTTGTCAAGCCTCTGCTTAAAGACCTCCAAAGGAGGAGACTCCACCACACTCCTTGGCAGCAAATTCCACTGTCGAACAGCTCTTACTGTCAGGAAGTTCTTCCTAATGTTTAGGTGGAATCTTCTTTCTTGTAGTTTGGATCCATTGCTCCGTGTCCGCTTCTCTGGAGCAGCAGAAAACAGCCTTTCTCCCTCCTCTATGTGACATCCTTTTATATATTTGAACATGGCTATCATATCACCCCTTAACCTCCTCTTCTCCAGGCCCCTGTCAGAGGATCCCTAATGTTCTGTTTTTATTTCCTTTGTGGTGAACCACGAAGAAAAAACACTCTGCATATAACTGGATGAATCGCCTCCACAACCCCAAGGGTGAGAACAAATTTTGAGGCTTAAGCTCTAGTTATCTTCTTGGCCGCAAAGGCTGTTGGAGTTGGGAGAATCTTCCTGCTGTTGGGAAAATCTGAAGTCAGCCTCACAGCAGCCCTAAGTGATGATTTGTATATGGGCTATCACAGATGCACGCATGGTAGCGAGAACTGTTGCGTCTCCTCACATCACTTCAAACCCAAAGGCATTTCATTAGGCGCAGGGGTTGACATTCAGCTGCCAATCATCAAGGCCTAGGTCTCCCCAGGACTTGTACTACTTCAGACTAATGAGGGGGGGTGTGTGGAAGAGAACAAACAATGCTCCTCTGTACTGTACTAGCAACTTGGTAAAAAATTCCCTGTGCATAGAAAACTAGCAAGTCAGGAAGAAGGCTAGGCTGGCACCCTGACAAACTACCTGTCCACATGCAGGGATTTTTTTTGGGGGGGGGAGGTATGAGGAACATCCAACTATGCCAGGTCAAATACAGGTTGACCACCTCAGTAGGAAATAGGCAGGAATTACACACCAAGCAAAAAAAGAAAAAGGAATTAACCATTGCACAAATTGCAAGGGGTCTGTGTGTCCTACTTCACAGAGGGCACTCCTCTATTTGAGTGGCTGTCTGGTCCAAGTCCAGTTTAAAGATAAAGGACCATAAAATAATAAAGGGCAGGAGCTTTGAAGTTGCTGATCAACACCTAGTCAGCCGAATAAGCAGGCATGCAGGCTAAAGCACAGAATCCCCCAATATGGTGAGATCGATCATACCCTCCAACATTTCTCTGATGGATATAGGGATGTCCCATTCCATAATCACAACTTTACTATTTATACGCCACACATCTGACTGGGTTGCCCCAGCCACTCTGGGCAGCTTCCAATGTATATAGAAACATAATAAAACACTAAACATTTTTTAAAAACTTCCCTATACAGTGGTACCTTGGTTCTCAAATGCCTTGGTGCTCAAACAACTTGGAACCAAAACACTGCAAACCCAGAAGTAAGTGTTCCGGTTTGCGAACTTTTTTCGGAAGCCGAACATGCTCCGTTTTGAGTGTTATGCTTCTGATTTGAGTGCCACGCTTCCGTTTTGAGTATTACGCTGAGATCTGTCTGTTTTTGCTATTTATTTTGCGTTTTTGTGGCTCTTTTTCTTTCTTTTTTGTGACTGTGTGGAACCCAGTTCAGCTACTGATTGATTGACTGCGTGACTGCACTACATTGTTTATTGCTTTCATTTTATGGATCAATGGTCTCGTTAGATAGTAAAATTCATGTTAAATTGCTGTTTTAGGGGTTGTTCTTAAAAGTGTGGAACGGATTAATCCATTTTGCATTACTTTCTATGGGAAAGTGCGCCTCGGTTTTGGAACACTTTGGTTTTGGAACGGACTTCCGGAAAGGATTAATTTTGAGAACCAAGGTACCACTGTACATGATTGCCTTCAGGCAGCTTGGATAACTCCACACCCTTCAACATTCAAACCAGGATGGCTTCTATAAATCAGGGACGTCCCTGGAAAATAGGGACACTTGGAGGATCCATAGCTGTCAACCTTCCCTTTTTTTGCAGGAAATTCCCTTATTCCAGCGCCGTTTCCCGCTGCTTCCTGCTGCTATCCCGGAATTTTAGATATCCCGTAGACTGTCCCGGGACAGGTGAGGCTGCTGATCCCTTATTTTCAAATCTGAAAGTTGACAGCTATGGGAGGATCTGTGAGACGCATTGCAATTTTTTTAAAAGTAGTGATTATTTCTAAATTCACATCTATACATATAACTCAGCACATGCATATTTCACGTCCTTTTGGGGGGCATGTGTATTCCCCGCTCTTTTAAAGTGCCTTAGTAGTCACTTATAACAAAGTGGGGGGCGTACCACAGGCCTCAATAGAGCGGGCCTGACCCTGGCACGACGGGCGGCAGCGCGCATCTCCCCCCACGGCCCCCTCGCCTCGCACTTCGCAGTCCTCGCCAGTAGGATGCGCCACGAGCGCAGTGTCCCTTTCCCTCCATTCAAGCTCGCCGAGGCTGCTGCGCCTCACCTTCCCGGGGCTCGGCGGCGGCGGCTCTGCCTCTTGCGCGCTCCCGTCTCCTTTGATCCCTCCGGCGACCCACATTGCCGGAGCTCCGCCGCAGCTCGCTCCAGGGAGGGAAGCTTCGCCAGCTTGCCTGGCGGCGCGATGGGACTGTGAGAAAGCCCGCGGCGAGGAGGTAAGCCAGCCAGCCAAGGGAGGGCAGGGCAGGGCAGGCTTTCCTAACCACAGCACCCCACCTCCGTTCCTCAGTGCAACTCTCTGCAAAATCTAGAGCCTCGCCGCCATCCCGCTTCCTCGCCCACTGCAACCCCTTGCATTTTTATTTTTTATTATTATTTTTTTGCATTGCTCCCAGTGCTGCATAGATACCCTTGCATGCATGCATGCGTTGCCTGGGCGGCGCGATTTGACCCCTGCATCCTTTGCTTTGGGGTTGGCGGGGGCAGCGGCGGCTGCTGGTGGTGCTGCTCTTTGCAAAAGCCTCGAGCCCGGCGCGGGGTCGCCTAGCGACCAGCAATCAATTAATCATGGCGAGCGGCGCGAGCTCCCGGGGCGCCGCGCTCGCCCTGCACCCAGGTCCGCCATCTGCACCAGCCGAGCCGAGCAGATGGGCGGAGAGGAGGGAGCAGTTGGCGTGGCCGAGTCGCGGCTATTGATCGTGGCTTCTGGCATCCGGGCTGGTGGTGGGCTCTGTTTTCATTGATGGTTCCTGGTTCATTTGCCGGCGAGGCGCTTTGGGTGTTACTTTCTGGCAAGCTGCAAAATACTCCTGGCGTTTCCTTTCAGTTGAGGGTGGGCGGGCGAAGAAGGTAAGCATTAGTGGGGGGGGGAGGGGGTTTGCTTTCTTTGCATGCTTTTATTTTATCATTGGCCGGTTAACAGGGCATTAACGAGGTGCAGTGCAATGTCTTCTTTGCTGGGGGTGGAATTAAAACGCCTTTTTTGCCTTCTGAGTTGGCGCGTGCAAGAGCGTGCCTTTGGTGTGGCTTGGATTCACCTCAGCCCATTCATTCGGCCTCAGGCTACAGTCCTATGCAAGCTTACATGCGAGTAAGCCCGTTTGAGCTCCGTGGGCCTTGCTTGGATGTAGGGTTGTGTAGCATCGCTTTGGGGGCCTTTGCCGCTTGGTTCCAATGGGCCTCCAAGTGACTTGCGGAACAATTAACAGTATGATTTTAAAAATCGCCTTAAAACCCGAATGAAATAATGGGGGGGGGGGAAATAGGAGTTTTAACCTGCCTATCTTTAAAAAAAACTGCAGAACACCAAATAGCAGCAAAATAGCAAAGCAGTAAAGGAGAACAATTTCAAGTGGTGCAGGAATGGTGGCTGGTTTTAGCTTCAGCAGGGGAGACCCCCAATAATTCATGGCTGGCTCCAGAGGATTTATGTTTTTCCCTCCCCCCCCCCACTTTCCTGCTCAGCCCCCACCCACAGGTATAGTCTCTTGAGCAAATTCTAACTTGGGAATGGTGTGTGGTCTCAGCTTAAAAGTGACTTCAGAAGAGGTCTCCTTGGAAGTAAGTGGTGGTGCAGCCCCCAATCTCATCCACACACTTTCTCAGAAGTAAGTCCCGCTATGTCCAGTGCAGCCTCCTCCTTCATAAGGTTGCCTGATACTGCAGCCCAGTCCTGTGCATGTCTACTCAGAAGCAAGTCCCCCTTTGCTCATGTGACTTACTTCCCTGTAAGTGTGCGCAGGATTGCAGCCTGGATCTGACTCCCCTCCATCCCTAAAGTTAATGTGGCTTAAGTTGGTATGGAAACCTGTAGTTTTACAGTGGATCGTAGATCACTCAGTGATTCCTTTGGTTGCGTGGTCAGGGATATCTTTGACTCAGGACCACAGAGATGCTGTAGCATCCTTGCTCCCAAGGCAGTAACTGAACAATAAGGTAAATAAAGCCCACCACATTTGCTCAGCAAAGGGTTGAAAAGCAAAAATTAGGATCTGGGTTGGTATCCCAGGTGCCTTTCTCTGCAGTGTGTGTTTGTGTGTCGTGCTGATGGCTTGACAAGCTCTCAGCACAAGTGGAGCAGCCAATATGGTGGGAAGCAGGTAACAAAAGCTACTGTAAGGAGGAAGCAACACCTGATTGCTTCTAATTTGGATTATAGCAACATACGATATGAGGTGATCTAGGAAGAGGTTTTGGTCCTGAGAGGGAGAAGGGAACCTGTATGAGCAGGATACAGAAATTTCTGTTTTCACAGGCAGCGCCTCCAACCTGTTAGGAATTAGGTTTTGCAGTGGGGAATCATTAGGGTGCCTAAGCTTGTTGCAGCTCTAGATAACAGTCCTGCCAGCCTGTATTGTCCCTTTAAAATAGGCTAGTGAAGATGGGGGAACCTATAAAGACTGACACCATGATAGTTGCTGGATCCTTTTTTATTGTAGGTCACCCATCTCCATTTCTCACAACAAAGGGAGACTTTCTTTTATAAAAGGGGGTTGAATAAATTCACCTGCACGCTTAAATATAACCCTGTTTGCTGCTTGTTTTTGTAATTGGTATTTGCAAAATTATTGAATCATATAAGTTTATGGCCTCAAAGACTTTGCTTTGCTTGTTGCGTGTATGTGTGTGTTTGTGCACAGGTCCTTCTTCCCTCCCCCAAATAGATTTGCATGCACGGGACATTTCACTTGTCTTTTGTTAGTTTATGATACAGCTAAATGGAAAATATATTCAGAGTGGCTGCAGTGTCACTTAGCTATGGCCTGATTCCATCAGAAGCAAAAATCTGCTGCTTGCAATAAATATATGAGCAGTGTCTCCTGCCTCCTTCTCATTCTACTACGCAGTGATAAATAACTCGTGTCGTGTAAGCAACACTACAGGAAGATGAAATCTCCTAGCCTGATAACCTTTTAATATTTCGAGAGTAAATTTCTGAAGCTGTGATCAGCTTAAATCTCCAAACTACATGGTGTTTTCCCCCTCATGTTATAGCTTTGTATACTTACATGGTGCTGAAAATACAACTTTGCACGTTTTTAAATCGAAACACATTCTGCAACTTCTTTGACCTGTGGTTTCCTATTTTACTTCGTTTCTATAAAACTCTGTATCCAGATTGGTTGTAAACCTTTTGTGTTTGTTTGTAATCGTATTTCAAAAACCTGCATTTGTTTGGTTGCCCACTTGATGGTAATAACTGCAAACGTACCCTTTTGCAGAAAATATTCTGGAAGCATGCTGTGAGGGTTGCGTTGATGGGGGCTAGATTGCTAGCCACACAATCTAGAATGTCATCAAAGGATTTTGACACTTTAATGTGTGTTTAATTTAGCTTAGGCAGTCATCAGGCTCTATAGGATAAAAGCTGCGTTAAATAATGATGCACCCAACTAAAGTATTCCTCTGAGCTGTAGTGTCTGTTGAATGACAAAATATATTTTCTATGTTGCCTTTGCCTGGGGATCCTAACCTATTGGGGCTGGCAGGTCTAATAGAACTAGGCAGCTAAGCCACATTCCTGTTACAAAACGCCAAGGTGGTGCTACATAGGCTGATTATACTTTCCTTTTAATTTATACACACACACACACACACACACACACACACACTGCTGGTGATAGTCCCAGCAGTGGGAGTGTGAATATACACATAGCTCCAGATGGTAGCTGATGTCTTAAAACAGGTAATCTAAAATCTGCTTCTTGGCGTCGTTCCTGCTATTTGCAGAGCCATGAGTTGTTAGTGAGCATAGCAAGTAGCTTTGCTTGCTGTGTATATAATATATAGACCCTGCAGCACACTTAGCTTGCCAAGTGCTTGAGTAAGCCTGTAGATTTGAGGCCGGAACTGCATTTTTGGTGGTGGAATCTGGGTCTCCTGTCAAAAGGTTGGTGATGGATTGGCGGTGGGGAATGATTTTCCGGAGGGAAGCAGTGGGAGGGAAGCTCAGCACCGAACTGGAGTTCCAGAGATTTGTTTCGCCAGAACAGGGTCCCCCTCCCTCAGGTGATATAAAGGGGATATCGGAAGTGATTTAAGAGCAAGTGTGGCATAGTGGCGAAATCCAGGTTCAAACCCCCACTCGACCATCAAGATCACTAGCTGACCCTGGATTAAGCTGCGGTTGTTCCTCTGGTGGTAGGTTTAGATCGGGCAGAGGTGTCCCTCTGCCCAGCCCTGCTGGGCCTCCACTGGCAGAGCTTGTCATTCCACCTGCCAAAGGTGCAGGTGAGTGCAGTTGCTTCTTGCAGCATTCCTGCCAGCAGTAGCTTGCAGCAAGGCCTGGGAGGAGAAAGCATTCTTGGGAGGGATTGAGTCAAGTTGGGGGCGCTGGCCCTGCTGCCATCATGTCACAGCATCGGGCCCTATCACTGTGCCAGGCTGGCACAGCGGTTTGCCTACTCCCACCCTTGCGCTGTGGTTGGATGCGGGTGGCACTGTGGTCTAAACCACTGAGCCTCTTGGGCTTGCTGATCAGAAGGTTGGCAGTTCGAATCCCTGCAACGGGGTGAGCTCCTTTTGCTCTGTCCCAGCTCCTGCCAACCTAGCAGTTCGAAAGCATACCAGTGCAAGTAGATAAATAGGTACCGCTGCAGCGGGAAGGCAAACAGCATTTCCGTGTGCTCGGGTTTCCATCACAGTGTTCCGTTGCACCAGAAGCGAGTTAGTCATGCTGACCACATGACCCAGAAAGCTGTCTGTGGACAAATGCTGGCTCCCTTGGCCTGAAAGTGAGATGTGCACCACAACCCCATAGTTGCCTTCGACTGGACTTAACCGTCCAGGGGTCCTTTACCTTTACCTTTTACCTGCCATGTGTGGCTGCACTGTGGAGGAAGCAGTGGCTCTGCCACTCCCTTAAGATGCACCGCTACCCAGCAAGGGTTTGGGTTGCAGTGCCAGTTGCTATCTCTCAGCCTAACCTACATCGCAGTGTTGTTGTGAAAATAAAATGGGGCAAACCAGAGGTGCCAGGGGTGGGCGTGCTGTTTTGGTGAAGGGCCACATTCCATCAGGCAAAATCTGCCCAGGACCAAATAACTGATGGAGCCCAGAGAGAGTGGAGCCTATCCCCCTTTTTCCGTCTTGTTGCCACCTCCTTTTCTCTCTCCATCTCTTTTTTTACACACCCGGCATCTCCCCACCCACCCCACCCCTTTCACAAAATTAAATAGAGGGCCACCTGCGGCCCGCTCTGTACATACTGTCTAGAACTCCCTGGAGGGAAAGGTGGGCTTGTAACATAGATACAAATAAATTGTGTGTCTTTGTTAGAGGAATCCCCAAATGTCAAGGGTAATATTTATTTCATTCTGGAACGCACCTGCCCCAGATTGAAGTGAGACATGTTCACTGTGAGTCTTTGTAGGCTGGCTGCTTCTGATTGCCTCTGAAATTCAGGCCAACATCAGAGGCAAGGCCCAGAGCCTTCCCCGAGGCGGCGTTAGTGGTGGTTGCAAATTTTGGCCAGATACAAAGGCCAGCCAAAAGCTGTGCATCCCTGTTCCTGTATTCCCAGTGATTTGTGGTGCTACCTGTTCCGTATCCCAGTGCTAGCTCCTTATCTGCAAAGCCCACAGCACTCACTCTGGTTTCTTAAAAATTAGCTGTCGTAACAGAAGAGTCATTGTAAGGGTAGAGGGCTGGACCAGGGTTCAAATTCCACCCTCAAGCTGCCTGCTCTCTCTCAGCTCTGCCTCACCTACCTCTCAGGGTCATTGTGGGAAGGGGAAAACATGTATGCCTCCTGGAGCATCTTGGAGGAAAGGTGCGGTATAAACACGATGACAAAATAAAAGCTCTGCAAGTTTTCCACTGGCTGTCTTTCGGACGCCAGCAGTCTGTAG